GTGTGTGTGTGTGTGTGTGTGTGTGTGTGTGTTCCTGCAGACACCAGCTATGCGTGGAACAAGGACAATGGTCAGTGGTACTACTTTGACGACAGTAAGGTGACGTACGCCAGAGAGGACCAGATCATGGTGAGTGACATAACTTACTTTAATCTGATGTCACTTCAAGTATCTATAACAGAAATGTTTTTGTCATAAATATGAAGCTGGAGGCAACATTAAAGAGCAAAGCGTGGTTCCATCTCCTGCAGTAGAAGCTAAACTCTCTCCGTCGTCCCACAGACCAACGCTGCCTACGTGCTGTTCTACCATCGACAGGACCGGATCAGAACACCCAGCCTGCCCCCCCCCACCAGCAGCCCCGCCTCCTCCTCCTCCTCCACTCAGCCCGCCAACGACATCACTTCCTGTAAGGACGACGACACTGCAGAGCTGGGCGCCGCCTCCTCCTCCGCCTCCATGGAAACGGACTAAATGATCACTTGATTGAGTTGAATGCTTCTTCACAGTAACGGGTTTTCTTTCTCTCCTTCGTGAGAACAACGGGATTCTTTTTGTTTTTTAATTATCTTCCAACAACACTTGAACTTTCTCTGATTACTTTTCCCTCAAAACGTCGTCGGCTCGTCTTTCATCTGTAAACGATGAAACATTTGATCCTCAGGTAGTCAGAGCGACGGTTAATCTGCTTTCTACTGATTATCAGCAACAATATTTATGATCAATAATTCATCCAGTGAACTAATTTGATCTTCATCTATTTAAATACGTTTAAATGATGCGTTATTACAACTCGAAAGTAAAGAAAGAAACACAAAGATCAACTTTGTCTTTAGATGAATTCATGGATTTTCAAAATAAAATCAAAATAATTTGCTTTAAAAAGTATTTAGTTTGTTTTTAAAACTTCAGTTTTATAATGCATCGTTTAAACGTAATAAAAGATATTTAACAGAAACTAAAATAAAACAAGGTTCCATATTTGATATAAAATATTTAAAAGCTATAAACACGAGTTATATATTTATAAGAAGACGTGTTAACGTAGTTTATTAAAAACAAACATCCAATATTACACAAAAGTAGAAGCTCTTAAATATTCACATAAATTAGTTTAACCTGAACTTTGTCTGCAGATTAATAACTTTTCCATGTTTTTAGGTGAAAGCACTTCTTTGTATTAAACTCATTAAAGTGGCCCGAGGAGCCAAGTGAAAGGGATTCTGGGTAATCGGTGTGTTTATAGCAGATCATTTAATATTGAACAAAGCTGCCGGGGAAGAGAAGTTAATTCACGTCTTTGTATATTTTGGTTGTTTTTCTGGTATTTATTTTTTTAATGGAATAAGTTGGGCGGTCACACGACGTCAGTTTGTTTTGAGTTGTTGGTCGACGACGTGTTTATTTTTCATATTTATAGGTGAAGCTTTGAGATGATTTGACGGAGGTTTAGTGTTGAGCGCTCACTGATCCTAGGAGCAGCTCTGTGTACAGTATTTTTGTATTGTAAGAGATGTATTCATATTAATATTATTGTTGTTGCTGGGCGGCGCTTGGGCTGATTTCTTTCTTTGGTCTTCCTGTCAAATATCAGATGAAAATATTTTATTGTACTTTCAATCTTTTGATATGAATAAAAGGACGATTATTATCACGACGAGACCGGAGACGCTTTTTACACTTTTAACTTTGTTTAGTTTCTGCAGGTCTGAGGTTTAAGGTTAAGAGGTAAATATGATTTTATAGTTCATCATATTCATCTTTAAGCTCTGCTGTTTACTGACAATGATCAAACGGCTCATTTGACTTTATGCTCCATGGAGACCTTCATGCTGCTTCACTCTGATGTGGATGAATACTATCTTTAATAACAAACACGGTTAACATTTAACATCTGGTCTTAAATATTCATATTAGTCGTGCTTTTCTTTTTTACAGAATGAGCCTCAAAACCAAAATTCAAGTTGCGGTCTCTTTTCTTCCGAGGTGTCATTGAAGGCATCGCGGTTCAGAGACGAGGAGTCGGTCAGTTGTGACGTAACGTTTATTTAAAGTGGAGAAAAGTTCACTCTGTTTCTGTCCCGTCATCTAAAAAGAGAAACGTCTTCCTGAGAGGATCCGTCTGGTTCATGAGGTTCTGGAACATTCTGGTTAGAACCGTTCTAGAACAACTAGAGAGCCGGTGGCCTGGAACCCCCGAATACACAAAAACAGCAAATGTCTAAATGGAAACTCGGTACAAAGTTAACTTAACGTACATTAAAAACAATGTATAAGAACCTCTTAATGACACTAGAGAGTGATCAGCAGGTCCATTTAATGATTACTTACTGTCGGAATGTTTAATAAAAACTGTCTGCGTCCTAATTTATCGACAATCAAAAGTGAGCAACAAGTCTAATTATTATAATTATTATTAATCTGAACATCTGAAGGCAAAACTCAGAGCAGTTACACTTCTTAAGGCCGACGAACAAAAAAAAAAAAAAAAAGGCAGAAAGTGAATAAAGTGGCGGAGATCAGCTTCATGGATCTACTGCTCGAGTTTGTGTACGCTGGGTTCCAGAACCTTTCACAGAGGCCCCGGGTCCTCCTAGAACATGGTGGACTTGATGTCCTGGCTGAAGAAGGTCCCAAAGTTCAGGTCTCTGGACATCAGGTCCTCCTCCACGTTCTCCAGAGCCCACTTGTGCTCCACGATCTCCAGCGCCTCCCACTCGCTCTGACACACAAACGTTTAGTACAAGTCAGTTCCATTCGGGTCAACATCGAGGTTCATTATATTTATGTATGTAAACACACAAGTATAATATGTATTATTAGAGTTCATTAGAGGGTTTTGTTGTTCTGTGAACATTGTTTTCATACGATAAACAGCTGAGCTTTTAGGACCGAATGTCTTTTTATATTATTGTCTTTAAAATATTGTAAAACTAGAATCACCGCCTCGTGATCGTTTACCTTCAGAAACCTAATGTGTTCATCAGCGAGTCATCAGGTGAACCTCTGATCCTCAAACGTTTCTAAAGTATCGCTTCATGGAATAAAACTTCATGTATCAAACTACACCCGGGATTAAATGAGGACGTGAGGGATTAAATGAGGACGTGAGGGATTAAATGAAGACGTGAGGGATTAAATGAAGACGTGAGGGATTAAATGAGGACGTGAGGGATTAAATGAAGACGTGAGGGATTAAATGAGGACGTCAAATACACAGTGGGCCGAAATTAAAAAATTGCTACAAGTCAAGGGCCATACGGGTTCAACGTTTATTGAAAATTTATTGAAAGAACCTTAGTGCACATATTGAACCTGGAACTAACAAGGCCTATAGAGTATTGTCTATAAAACAATATTAATTATGAAATAAATGAAATAAAAACAAATACATAAATAAATAAAAATAAAAGTAATAAAATCAGTTTCATTAATTGCTTATGGCTCTGTCTGCAGTTTTTCCAGAGTAATTTCAAGTGAAAACATTTTCTACAGGCAAACAACAGCAAAAAAATAATTTACTTCAAAGAAAAATCAAATGTCCTGTAGTAGCAAGAGAAAAAAAAAATGCAAAAATGAAACTGCATTAAAAACTGAAAATGCGTCAAAGCACCGTTTGCTGCTCTGTGATGCTCACTGGTCTGAGCCAGACACTTGGTGTCTCATCTTGGATACAAGTTCATCAATGTCTGGGGTCAGGCT